CGGGGGGCTCCTGGGTAGAAACAGGCTCCAAGGAGGCAGGCTGGGTTTCCCTGGCCAGGGCCCCAGGTACCCACCCCTCGAGGACCCTGGGGAAAGGTCTAGTAAGGATGCTGGATGGGGGCTCACAGAACAGAAGTCACCAGCATGGTCATGGACACTAGACCAGATCCTGTTTTGGGGAGTCTATTAAAACCATTAACACAGATCTTGTTTCTGCTAAAACTCACTAACATTGATATGACCACCCATGGCTGTCATAAACTGTTCTAACACCTCTTAGTGAATGAACGGACGTGAGGCGGAGCTAAACCAGCCCTTGGGCTTGGGTCCCCCAGGAAATCCACTCCTTCCATTTGCCTTAAAACCTCTGCCGTGAAGACTAAACATGGCCCTGCTCATTTGCAGTCAAACCACAATTTCTCTTATGAACACATTTCAGTTCACTGTTAACAGACCAACAATCCTCCAGGTCACCCTCGGAGCCGGCCGTGTGACGTGGACAGCCTCTGGCTCCTGGCGGCCGCAGGCCTGAGCCTGGGGAGACCAAGCCCAGCTTACCACATCCAGCCCCGGAAACGCGGCCCGGCCCTTGGCCTCGATGGTCCCCTCCATCTCGTGCATGGCATCACGGAGCACAAACTTCACGGACTCGCCGGCAGATCCGGGAAACATCTGGCAGAGGTCGTACAGCTGCCTGTTCATCAGAAACAAGTCAGCAGAGCAGGACTCCAGACGGGAAAACAAGAGACCCCACCCTCCCACATGGCCACCCCGGTGCCATCACCTGCTGACTGCAAGCTGGACCGGAAGTCCCTGGGTGGCCCACTCCCTGACACCTGCCTGGCTGCTAGGCGAGCCCAGCGACCCTGTAGTTGAGCTTTATAACCGTCTATGTGACCTGTGCTCAGGTTGCAGTGGAGAGCACATTCTCTCTGCCCAACCTGGAGGCCCGTTCACCAAGCAGACGTTAAAACCCTGCCATGTGCTCTTACAGCGCTAAATGGGATAAAACTGCTCAGCCCAGCCCCACGCCCACCATCTCTACTTACACAACCAGCTTATCAATCACTCTGAGGTCTGGTGGGTCGTCCATGGCCAGGTCCCCAACGTATTCCAAAAGGAAGCCGAACAGTTTCTGGAGAACATGGATGGGAGCAGGTCGGTGCTGAGCCCGGAACGAACCACAGGCAGACACGCACTGTCCCCTACTCTGCCTGACAGAAGAGGGGCCCAGGGCCACCAATGGCCAAAGTACCCAGCTGAGCGCTCAGAGGAGCAGGTTTGAGAGCTCGGGGTGGTATACACAGCCCGGCGGATAGCATCCAAATCTTGACAGGAGACCAGGGGCACAGGCAAACTGCACCCTGCCCGGTGACAGCAGCACATCTTTAGATGGAGGGGGCACGTTACCGACTTCCTGAGAGTCTGGCCTGGCTGCTCACTGGCCACATGAGGCCAACTTGCAGGTGACATGAGGGCACTATGCGGGCCTCATCCAGGCCTGCCAAGGGCTCCCGCCCAACCCCGGCCAGCAAGTCACTGAGGGCCAGATGCACCCGGTGACCAGCAGCTTCCAGCGCCCTGATCCCCACAGCCCAGGGGATGGCCTACTGCTCCCAACACTGAACCCGTTCACCAGCGTACTTCTAATTTTGCCTTGTTTCCCACGGCGAGACTGGGATGGTGGCATTTCTGAATTCTCTCCACCACCAACAGCTGCTCCTCCATTGACTTTCCTGACAGCAAGGACTTCAGTTCCTCAGAGGACTCGGGAGCTACAGAAACACAAACAGGTGGCACTTGAGAGCGACTCACATGTCTGGGAACAGACCCCAGAGCGGAACACAGTGTAAGCTAATCACTTCCTTTGCTTCAGTGAAAGAGAGAATGTAGCTTCTGTTTATAGAAATACACCTTTCACCGCACGTTGTAACATTGCAAACACCCGTGTGTCCCAGGTGAGATGGCTGGGCTCTTAGTGAACAGCCACCTGAGAACAGGCCTGTGGGGAAGTGGCCAGCAGCCTCTGCTCTGTGAGGAATCTGCCCAAATACCCAACACACCGAGAGTCGAGGCACAGAGTGGGGAAGGAGCCACATGAATGGAGCCGTGGCACTGCCTAAGGCTTCTTCCAGTTGGAGCTGCTTCCATGGGAGCCAGCCTCACCCATGAGTGTACTGTCTCTGGAAATAGCCTGCAGTTATCGGACACAGTGGGACCACTGACTAGAGCTGGGTGACTTTTCTGTGTCCTGAAGACGTATCCTGGACTCTGTCTGAGACATTATGTGGCCCAGGTCTCAGCCTAGCAGCCCCTCCCACTAGTCCCCCAAGCCCTGCTCTGGGTCTCCACGTGCCCATCACAAGGCAGACACTTAAAAAACAGCACAAAGACACTTCTATGGAAAGGCATGTGTCTGTCTGATCCTGTCTGTGGTCATGTAACACAGGCCACCACTGTGCCACCAGGACCTGGATCAGGCCATGGCAACACCGGGAAAACCTGGAGGGGGAGGACCGTGCCCGTCCACCGAGGCCTCCACCGGCACGTGTCCATGCGTCCAGGGCATCCTCGACCCCCACTCCACGTGCAGCCCAGTGAGGCAGACTTAGCGCCAGGCTGGACACTGTCCCGAGACCTATGAGAACCCGAGTTTGTCACCTGCAAACATATAGGGCAGCTCAGTTCTGGCAGCTTCTCGAGCTTCCTGACCACGGCCTGTTGCCCTTTCCCCTGGAGTCGGCCGCGGCTCCTGCTCTGGCCGCTCGCTTTCCTCCCCGCTCTGCACATCACGTTCCAGGTCCCAGAGGCTGTCCGAGCCGCCGCTGTCCTCTGCGCCCCCCTCGCTCGAGTCCTCGTCTGTGTTTCCACTGTCACTGGCTTCCCCACTCTGCTCTTCCTGGACATTCATCTTTCCGTCCTAGGGAAGGAATGGAAACCACAGGTGTGGCAACCCCAGGGAGACAGCGGTCAGAGTTCCTATGGCGGCACCCAGCGCTGCGCACACGCTGAGTTATCTCGCCTGCGTGCCCTGGCCTCCTGCTGCCCGCTGCTGCGAACTCGACCACAGGGGTAAAGGCTCCAGCAGTTGTGGGTCTGCAGCAGCCAACCCCTGGCTCTGGGGCTGGGGGACAGCTGGCTCAGCAGGGGCCTCCTGGGATTTGGGCTGCACCTGGGGGTGGCAGGACCCCTACACCCAGGGGTGACCTGACTGTGTCCTCCAGATAACCCAGTGTGTCGTGAGCACCCAGTTCCCTGCCTCGGGCCCCTCTCTGCTGGAGAGGCCTACCCCGGCTGATACACTTAAAAAGGGCAGGCGTGTGTGGACACACGGGGTTCATGACTGAACACGGCGTCTCAGAAGCATCGTTACTTCACGGAGAAGTGTTCAAAACGCTAACCTTGCGTTAGCTCCCACCAGGTGAATGCTGAGTTCACGCAGGTAATCAGACTCTTGTTATCTACTGAGTAAGAGCGAAAAGAGTCCTGAGAAAGGGCCACAGCCAAGCCGTCGTCGCCCAGTCTTGGTGCCTGGACACCGTAAACACCCAAGCACAGAGCCGCAGGGACCCACTTGGAAAGATTTAGTTTCCACCTGAGATAAACCTGTTAAGTGAAACACCCCAAATGTGTCCCATCAAAGGAGGAAAGTCAGGGACGCCTCACCTTGTAGGCGAGCAGACGCCGGTCATCCCTGTCCAGCACGAAGCCGTCATGCAAGTCGTCTGCGGACACGTGTGTGGGTTTCCTGGTGCCCTCGCCCTTCCCCAGCATCCTCCGGACCCTCTCAGCCTGCGCAGGAGAGAGAAGTGATGTGTGGAGCTCATGTTGCTCAGGGCTGTTATCTGAACTTTTTTTACTTTTATAAACAAAAAGGAGATACTCATAAAATAAAGAAATAAATAAAAAGAAAAAATTTACAGTGAAGTACACAAAAACTTTAAATTGCCTAAAAAGATTCCCCTGATTAAAGTGGAGTATCTCCACCCCAACCCACAGAACAGGCAGAAAGGCCTGACGTGGAGGTGACAGCAGTGTCCCCACAGGCCAGGTGCCCAGGGCTGCGCAGTCACCGTACCTCCAGGCGCTGGAGCCGCTCCTGCTCTTCCTTTGCCAGCTCCTCCTCTGTTTTCAACCTGTTAGAGGGCTGCGCCTTCATCTCAAAGCCCAGCTCGCGCACCACCCTGTCGTAGGCGTCAGGCTAGGGCAGAGAAGGAAGGTTTCATTGTTAGGATCTGTTTTTTAGAGGAAAGGAGCTGCCAGGCCCTGCACATCCCAGTCAAGGCTGGAAACCATGGAGAGGAAGCTGAAGCTGTTCTCACCGGTCCGGACCACAGTTTTAGGTCACGTAGGACTTTTCACTTCTAGGAAGTTCTCAAACGACATCTGCTTTAATGAAACTGAACACTTCTCGTCCAGGCGTTAAGCCCCCCGGAGCACGCTTGGGTCAAGGTAACAGCAACCGCAAGGGTCACTCACAGAGATGTCCCACCAGCCTGGCGACCAGGTGACCCCGGGAAAGCCTCGCTATTTCCTGGAAACCAGCCCCTCAAACACATGTGGCTGTATAACAATTTAGACTAAAGAGTGCGGTAGGAACCAAGTACTGCTGGGAGGGCAGAGCAAGTAAATGCATAAATTCAACCACCACCTGATGGCCTCCCCACCGAAGGGTTTCTCATACTGAGAAGTAACTGTTTCCTTAGTTTAACTATTTTTGAGTAGATATGGAAATAATTTTTAGTCTGTTTCCTCCCTGATGTAACACACATCAGTTGCCCTAAAACTTCAATAGAAACTCGGGTCCTAACAGAAACAAGACTGGACCCCTGGCGGCCCCTTTTCCCTCAGGGCAAGGTCAAGTCAGCAGACATGAGCTCAGCTCGGCGTTTGCTCCCACCTGGGGTTTCTCCTTCTGGTCTCTGTTCTGTGACTTGGGTGCCTTGCGTGTCAGGAGGCTCTGGATTTCTCGCCAGTCTCGGTCTAGCTTCTCCGTGAGCTCCAGGGCATCTTCCCGCTGAGCCTGTCTCTCCCGCTGGAAAGAAGAGCAGACAGCGCAGAGTGTTACTGCTGGACTCCGATGGGCGGCGTGCCGTTGTGCCTGGGCCACTCCCGGAGACCGCAGAGCCCACTCTGACCTGTCAACAGGAAAAAGGGACCACACAGTCAGTGGCTTCCCCACAAAGCTACAAAATCTCATTGGACAGCACTAGTCTCCTGCTATAAACCACTCACTGTTGGTAAACAGCAGTGATGTTTTGCAAATCCTGCTACACGTCAAAATACTGAAACCAATCAACCAACAAAAGCCCCCAAACCCAGCAAACCATCAGAAGTATGTGCTCAAAACGGAAAACACTGACTGCTTCTACTACTTCAGAGAAAACAGTGAATTCAGCCGCAAATTCTGCGGGGAAAAGAGCCCCAGAATCTCTCTGCATGTGTTGTGACAGCCGCTCCAAACCCAGGATGTGACCAGCGCACCTTCTCCTGTTTCGACTTCGCAATGAGCTCCTCAATCAGTTCTTTGCGGGATCTGGGCCTCTCCTCGTCCTGGCCTGGCTGCTGTGAGGTCTTCTGAAGGAGCCCCCCGCCTCCGAAATGGGCCTCTGTCAGTTCGGCTGCAGGCAGAGCAGAAGACGCACTGTGAAGCCCAGGCATGGGCACCGCCCCATGTGCAGTGCTGGGAACTGACCCCACGGTGAAGGCAGAGTCCTCACACCCACTGGCAGCCTGAGACCCCAGGCACAGCGGCCCCTGATTACCCAGAATGAGCCATTCCAAGAAAACGACCCACTGGCCCTGACCCGAGTGACTGGAAACACCACACAAAAAGGACCTGTTTTTTAATTGCGTTCAAATCTCATGAAAGAGCAGCAAATGCAGTAAAACCAGCTGGAATCTGAGCCCTGGGAGGGACTGGCCGATGCTCAGGGCCACTGAGACCCTCCCGGCCCCTCATGCCCCATGGCGGCCAACAAGACCTACTGCTCTTCTGGCCCGAGGTCCCAGGGCAGAAGACAGACGTGAAACTCCGTGGGCACCATCATACTGGAGTGGAAAGAAACCTTTAAAAAGTCCCATTTCTTTATGGGATGAGAAAATGGGCTTAGGTGTTAAGTGATTTGCCCCAAATCTCATAGCAGTAACATAAAACAAACGTTCTAGGCCAATTTTCCAGCCCTTCCAGCCCCGGGCCAAGCGGTCGTCCAGCCCTTTCTTGCTCCCATCCTGCTCCTGGTTGATGCTGCCACCTGGTTATTAAATCAAACCACACCTGCTCCGTGCCACACCTGTGCAGGCAGGTGCAGGTGGAGGAAGGAAACACACTGTCAGCCACACTGAGTTTCCCCACCCAGTCCACTCTCCAGGACTGGTCTCCTTGCAGAGCGGCTCACACACCTGGGACTCGTGGCTGGACGAGTCACCAGTCCCTCTGAGTTCCTGGCTACAACAAACTAGGGTGACGCTCAAGTAAGACAGGGTGCTGACGTCTTCCTCAGCCCACAGAAGCCTCTGTCTGTCTATCTTATCTACCTCCATCTGCATCTGCCACACACCTTCTTAAAGTTCTAGAGCTAAAACAGAAAAACCCTGCTATGTGTGGCGCTTCTTGAGAGGTTAATTCAGTGACACTTTTATCCGACAACATTTTTCAAGGTGTCTAAGAAGGGCAGGCGGACAGTCTAGTGGTGAGCAGACGACTGTCCCTGCCCCGGCCCTTACCAGACAGCGTTCCTCGCCCCTCCGTGTCGCTGTCACTGTCGACAATGTCGTTGTGTTTTTCGATGTCCGCCAAGGACTGGCCGTAATGAGTTAACTCTTCGTCTTCGTTCAGGTTGTAGATGTTTCTTTTTTCGTGTTGTCGCTGACAGGAGGGGAAGAAAGGTCTGTTTTCTAAAATTCCCATGTCCATTTAACAGAAAAACCCAATTACTTTTCTATTATTTGTACCACGTGAGAATCTGGCCTCAGCGGCTTTATGATGATTCTGGGTCATCGGAGCAGCAGTTCAGATTCAGACAGAACCGTAGACGGCCAGTTAGCCAACGGGTCAGGTGGAGCTACACACACCACGCAGCCTGACCCACCAGAAACGACCCACCGGCCACTCACTGTCCACCCACCCGAGCTGGAGGCAGCGCTTTAGTCAAAACTCGGGACACGTCACTGCTGCGCACTCCGGCTAAGATATGACCCTCCCGGCGGCATCTGCAGAAGGCTGCCTCCCCTGGCCTCACCAGGCCAGGAACAGGACTCAAGACCCACCCCACCCTGGGCCCACAGGAGCACAAATGACCACTTCTGTGGGCAGACCCTCCTCCCCGTCTCACACCTGCTGCTCCAGGGCAAACCTCTGCATCATCTTCTCCTCGGCACTGATGCGGCTGTCGTACTCCCCGAGGCGCTTATCTATAAACACGTTGGACTTGTCCCTCTCCTTGTACTCCTTCAGCAGAGTCCGGGTACGCTGGAAAACAGATCGGAAAACAGACTTGGCAAACTCAGCCTCCAAAGGGAAACGCCTCCACAGGGACACCACGACCACTCTAACGCACGGGGAGATGACATTGTCATCTTATCCTCCGTAGGCCACTGAAGCCGACAGTCCAATAAAAGGGCCGATGTACAGGCAGAAAGAACGATCTCAACCCCGGGGAAACCAGGCTGCTGCCGTACAGGGAGGCGAAGAGGCCTAGTCTGACCCCAGGGGACCCTGCAGGATGCGCCCAATACTGAGGCTTAAAGAGAGACGGCAGCCACCAGGGAGAACGCAGAACCGAGCACCCAGAGGTCACCCTGCCAGGTAAAGGAGCTGGAAGAGCTGAGGTCCCAGCTAGAGGAAGGGAAATTCGGAACCAGGAGTTAAGAGGATCCCGAGTGTCAAGTCTGACGTGATGACTAATAAGGGCACAGACTACGGCAGCCTGCTTCCTCCTCGCTGTAACATACGTGTGTTCATCTGTATATAAGTCAATCCTTGTTGTTTGTGTGTCTGTGTCTACAAATTTGCCTACTTGCTGAAGTTTATTTGTGACCTTAAACCAACACCTGCAGCACTTTCGGGGTCACTCATTGGCACATGTGTGAGGCTGAAAGACCAGCAGCCAAGAGTGTGGACACCAAGTCCCACCAGCTCCACCACTTCCCAGCTGAGGCCCTGGGAGGCACCCAACCCCTCTGCCCCCAGGGCCTCACCAGCGAAAGGGGGATAACGGCAGTCCCGACTCCGGCTGTGGCTGAGGGGATTGCAAGAGTCAGCAGAAGCGGGCTCAGCACCGGGCCGGGCCCAGCGGGACTGCTGTGTGGCATGAAGCACTAGTCTGGGTCAGGTCCTTGTCTCAGCTCCCTCAGGTATAAAGTGGGGACTGAATGCGCATTTCCTAACACAACGCCTGCCCCGCTGTACAGGACCAATCCATACGTTCCCTTCTGTTCTTTTACGAGTTACGTTGGAAACGAGGCACAGCTGCAGGGTGATGGCCGGGGCTGCACTCACTCTACACTCAGGTGCACCTCAGATGCGAGGACACGCGGGACAGCCCGGTCCCTCCCCCAGGACCGTCCCAGACACAGACTCAAGCCTGTCACGATGGCCTGTCTGCCCCCGCACAAGTCAACCGGACACCCTGCGTCCCTCCTGATAGCTCTGAGCTCCTGGACCTCACCCTTGAGGACACTCCCCACTACACGGGTCAGCAACTGTGAGCCCCCAAAGCGCTAAGTCCTGGCTCCTTCAACTCCTTGAGTTTGTTCTGTGGGCCAAGCACTGGGGGCCCAGAGGAAGCCGCAGCGCCTCCCCCGGCTGCCAGCACGCAGGAGGGCGGCCTGCGGACACTAGAGGCGAGGGCCCCTCCGGCTGGGGTTGTGGGGCTTGGGAAAGTATCAGCGTGGTGGCTGGGGCTGCCCTTCCGGAGGTTTGGGGGATAACACAGGTCTTTTTGGACAACTTGAGCTGCAAAAGTCAAAACAAGGACCATCGGTTGGGGCCAGATGGTGAAGGCGCCTGCGAGTCAAGCCGAGAAGTTCGCGTTCTGAGGACACCCCGTGTGCCCAAAGCAGTTTTGCTTAATTCCTACGGCCACCAGGAGAGAGGCCAGTGTCAGTCCTTCAGAAATAAGAAACCTGAGGTGAAGGCGGCGAACACAACCCCCGGGCCTGCCCGGGGGCGCTGGGGGCCCGTCCCGCCCGTGGGCCGTCCGCCTGGTCTGCCGGAGGATGGCATCGGGCGCCCACAGATGTGCCGGATGGCGCAGCGTGGCCCACACAGGTCAGGCCCTGGAAGGCGCACCCCAAGCCTCACCCACCTGCCCCTCCCGGAGCCAGAGCGGAGCTTAAACGGGGGAGCCCGGCGGCGCCCAAGGCCTCGGGCACTCGGCCGCGCAGGGTGTGGAGCC